CTCACCTCAGCCTCCCAAAGGCGCGGGATTACAGGCTGAGCCACCGAGCCCAGCTATACTGTATTTTCACTGCATCTTTTCTTTTTCTTTTTTTTCGAGTTGGAATCTCACTCTGTCACCCAGACTGAAGTGCAGTGGCACACTCACAGCCACGGCAGTCTTGACCTGCTGGGCTCAGGCGATCCTTCCACCTCAGTCTTCCAAGTAAGTGGAACTACAGGCACATGCCACCATGCCCAGCTAATTTTTTGATTTATTGTAGAGACGAGGTCTCACCAAGTTACCCAGGCTGATCTTGAACCCATAGGCTCAGGTAATCCTCTCATCTCGGTCTCCCAAAGTGCTGGCATTACAGGCATGAGTCACCATGCCCGGTCCACTGTACCTTTTCTATGTTTGGATACATACTTTACCATTGTGTTATAATTGCCTACAGTATTCAGTACAGTAATACACTGAACAGATTCGTAGCCTAGGGGCAACAGGCTATGCCATGCAGCCAAGTATGTAGTAGGCTAGACCGTCTAGTTCTGTGTAAGTGCACTCTGTGATGTTCACACCATAACAAAATCGCCTAATAACATACTTCTCATAATGTCTCCCTGTCGTTATATAACACATGACTGTACTAGTAATTGGTCAATCTGGAGAAAGGGCAGGATGATATTCATTGTACCCACTTTTCCCTGTATATTTGAAGAATTTCAAAATGAAATCTGGGGAAAGTATTTAAAAATCCACTGTTTGGAGCCCCTCCCAGATGAGAGGCCCACTGTGCTGATGACACTGCAGTTCCCTCCAGCCTGGTCTATCTTCTGCACTCTGGATCTAAGTGTCCAGGGTCTCCAGGACACCCCTACTCGGCTGTAACACAGACACCTCCCATATATGCTTGCTTCTCCTGCTTCTCTCTTTTTCTTTTTCCAAGGTGAAGTCTCACTCCATCACCCAGGCTGGAGTGCAGTGGCACACTCATGGCCACTGCAGCCTCAACCTGCTGGGCTCAGGCGATCCTTCCACCTCAGCCTTCCAAGTAGCTGGAACCACAGGTATGCGCCACCATGCCCAGCTAATTTTTTGATTTATTGAAGAGAAGAGGTCTTGCCAGGTTGCTCAGGCAGGTCTCAAACCATGGGCTCAGGCAGTCCTCTCTCCTCAGCCTCCCAAAGTGCTGGGAGTACAGGCTTGAGTCACCACATCCGACCCTGTTTCTCTTTTACTATCTGAAGTCTCCCTTGACTCCTTACTCCCCTCCAAACCAGCACACCCTCCTCCCAGTTCCGGCCCCCCAAGTCTCTCACCAGGATGACCACAACAGCTTCTGCCTAGTCTTTCTCTTTCTGCCTCTCCCATTGTCTACATGGCAATCAGAGGAATATTTTGCAAACAAGAATCTGACCACAGCACTCCCCTGCTTATAGATACCTCAGTGAATCCCCACTGCCTATATAACAAAACTCAAGTTCCTTTATATGGCCTCCTCAGTCCTGAACGCTTCTTTGGCCTCTCTCTCCCTCTCTGCCTGTCACATTGCCACTCTCAGTATTTGCAGCTCCTCAAAGACTCCAGGCTTGCTCTTGCCCCAGGGCCTTTGCTCTTGTCCTCTCTTCCCTCTGAACACCATGTGCCTGGTTAATTCAGCTTTGAGCCTTAGCCTATCTCCTCCTTCACATAACTAAAGTGTCTCCCATCACAGCTGAACTCCCTCTGGCCTGTGGCTGTTGACTACAGGTCTTTTCCCCCCATCTCACTGTGACTACCCTGAGGGTGGGGACTATGTCTGAGTGACATCTGTGTCCCCAGTACCCAACTCCAGGCCTGGCACCCACAAAGGAGATGCCTGGGGAACAGTAGCTGGTTCTCTGGCCCTGGAAACTTAAAAGCCTGGGGTCCAGTTTCCACTCTGCCAAAGATTCTCTCTGCAGATAGGCCTTCGTTTTCCTGTCTAAATGAGAGCTTTGATCTAGCTAGATGAGCAGGCTCAGCCGTCACACCAGTTCCTGCAGTGCACACCATGACCACCAGGTGTCACTGCCGAGCCACAGCTGGGTCAGCATCATTAAAAGATGCACTAAGGGGAGGTTGGTAGGTAGAGTGTATATAGGAGCCCTCGGGACATTCCCAGCACTGAACCCCATTCCCCCATGCCCCCAAAAGAGCTGGTCCTTCAGCTCACAAAGCCTCATGCAACCCTCAGGCCAGCGGGTCCCCTCCCAGGCAGGTAGCAAGCAGGGCAGGGTGCAGGTGGACGAGCGGGGAAGAAGGTAGATGGGCAGGCGTCCTGCTACCTCTTGGGAGTCCCTCCCACAGGTGGTCCTGGGTTTGAGAACTGGTTTAGGGTAGCCTAGGCATTTGCTCCCTGGCCAGGGGTCCCCATGAAGGAACAGAACTGCCCAGCCTAATTTGTCCTTGATCTCACATCTCCCATCTCTTCTGGGCTGGGTAGAAATGTGTTCCCAGACCAAGGGCCTTGGGAAGAGGCCAGTGAGGGGAAAAAGGGAGGCAGAAGGCTGGGCTCACGAGTCTGCCTGATCCCCAGCTCAGCTCATGCTCATATATTGGCAGCATTCTTAAGAGGCTCTGGGGCCATGGCATGGGGGGTAGGAGGGAATGCAGGGGCAGCAGCAAGGGGCTGGGAGAGGCTTCTAGAGAGGTAGCAGGGCCCCAGAAGTCATGAGGAGACATGGGGGAAGACTCGTGCAGGATGGGGGCTCCCACGGCTGTATCTATCACTGACCCCACAACCAAGAATTGAGAGGATAGGGTAGGTGCCACCGCATCCTCACTAACTAGTGACTGCCAGGAAGTAGGGCGTCCCAGCCAGACTGCAGTGGGGAGGAGTGGTATGAAGGGAGACATGATACCATCCCCAAAAGAGATCCTTGGTTGTCTCCTGCTTCCATTCTGTCCATTTTCAAAATGACTCCTGTGTCAGCGATGATTTCCAGGTCCCTGCATTGTGGAGCTTTTGGGCATGGTGCATTCAGGGTCCTAGTCCTTCCCCATGTGTTTCCTGGGTGAGTAGATTTCTAGGCCCTGAAATTAATTCACTACAATTATCCTCAATGACTATGAAGATGTCTAGGACTTTACACTAATCATGGGATTTTTGAGTGTGTGGTTTCTAGGTCCTCTTTCTCACTTACTCCTTGTGTCCTGTCTGTGTGACTGTTTCTAGGCTTTTCTTCCCATTCCTCATGGGTGTCTTATGTACGCAGTGGTGTCTAGGATCTTGTATAAACCTAGGTTCTTTTGGGTATAGTGGAGTCTAGCTTTCCTGACCTCATTAACCATGTTAAATGTGTATATAACCGTTTTGAGGTGTTCCTTCATGTGCTTAATTGATTTCCTATGTGTATAATGGTGTCTAAGTCCCCTGTCCCTTTCACCATGGGGCTCCTATATACCTCATTGCTTCTAGGCCTCTCTTCCTAGGCTTCATGGCTTTCCTAAGGTCCCCATTCTTCTGTGTGGATATCATCTTCATGCTTCCCTTTCTTCTGCAGACAGGTGAGCAGAAGCCAAAGCCCTTGCTGGGAAGGGGGCTATGGAGATAAGGAATGCAGTCTGGCCTGGGTCAGCCCAAACCACCCCAGAGGAACAAGCAGAGCCACCCTGGCCTGGATAGGCCACAGAGGGAGGGCAGAGACGGGGACAAAGACTGAGACAGAGAACGTAGGGGTCTGCTGATAGGTCTGGCCCTGCCCAGGTAGAAGCAACAGGATGGAGGCGGGGGTTGGGACTGAGAATTGCCAAGGCTCCTGCCTGGGAGACCAGGCTGCAATGGGGATGTGGATGGGGTGCTCCCACTCCTGGGGTCTACTGGTGAGAGAATACTCTCCTGAGCACCCAGGATGGGAGAAGGCAAGGAGAGGCCAGTGCCAGGCCAGAGCTTACCCAGTGGCTCTTCTCACCAGGGTCTCCCTTGGGACCAGGTTCTCCCTGCAAGGAGAGACAGAGACAGAAGCGGTGAGGGAGGAAAGGAGAGAAAGAGAAGACAGAAAAAGAGGGAGGAGGGGGAGAGACTTAGAGAAACAGAGACAGGCCAGGCATGGTAGCTCATGACTGCAATCAGCACTTTGGAAGGCTGAGGTGGGAGGAATGCTTAAGACCAGGAGTTTGAGACCAGCCTAGGCAACAAAGTGAGACCTCATCACTGAAAAAAAAAAATTATTTGGGCAGGGTGGCATGCGCCTGTGGTCCCAGTCACTCAGGAAGTGAAGTGGAAGGATCCCCTGAACCCAGGAGGTTGAGGCTGCAGTGAGTTGTGATTGTGCCACTGCACTATAGCCTGCATGACAGAGTAACTCTGATGTGAGAGAGAGAGAGAGAGAGAGAGAGAGAGAGAGAAACAGAGAGTAGCTTATAGTGGACTAACACTGGTTAAAAAGCAAACCAAAAACCTGTTTGAAGGCAACAGAAAGTAATAAAAAAAGCAGCCAGAAACTGGAGGATATTCAACCCTTCAAAGAGGAGAACTGCACTGGGTAAAATCCAAACATTTACAGCTTTCCCTCGGAGGGTACACTCCGCCCCCCACCCCGGCAAAATAGAGTCAAGCAGAAAGTTTCCGTTTTCTTGGCCTGAAGAGTCAGAGGCTAAAGTAGAGGTTGCTAGAGAAGCAAGAAATTGAGGAAAATACTGGAAAGCAAGGAGTCACAAGTGGGGGAGCTAAGTCTGCATAAATGTGCCTCTCTAATCCCTGGATGATCCCTGAAATGTCCAGCCACAGAGCAATAGTCTCGGCCACTGCAGCCTCGACCCACTGGGCTCCGGCGATCCTTCTACCTCAGCCTTCCAAGTAGCTGGAACTACAGGCATGTGCTACCACACCCGGCAAATTTTTTATTTATTGTAGAGACGAGGTCTCGCCAAGTTGCCCAAGTGGGTCTTGAACCCACGGGCTCAGGCAATCCACTCACCTCAGCCTCCCAAAGTGTGGGATTACAGGCTGAGCCACCAAGCCTGGCTTACCTAAGGACTTTCTAATGAAACTCCAGAAAGGCCATGCCTTAGGATAAAGACCACATCTCAGGATTAAGGGTTTTTTCCTAGGAGTAAACAAAAATAAACTTCCTCTGACGAAACCTCCAAAAGAATAAGATGACCCATCAGCAATTTAACAAAACTCAATACTCTTCAGAGGAAGATAATGGAATTCAGTCTCTTCAATATATTATCTATCTTGTCCAGCATGCAATAAAAAATTACTAGACGTGAAGAAACAGAAAATGTGATCCAGATGTAAGAGAAAAACAGCCAATAAAAACAGATCCATAACTAATCCAGGCATTGAAATTGGAAGACAAAAAATTCACAGTATCTGTGATAAATATGTTAAAGAATCTATTGAAATTGATATAATGGATGATGAAATGGAAAATTTGGGGAGAGATGTATAAAATGTAAAAAAGACTCAGATGGAAATCCTGAAAATAAAACTGATAATATTAGAAATAAAAAATTAATTAGATGGAATTAATGGAAGACTGGACAAAACAGAAGTAATCAATCAACTTGAAGACAGGTCACAGCCTGGGCTACATAGGAAGACCTCATCTCTATAAAAATTAGTCAAGTGTAGTGATGTGCCTGTAGTCCCAGCTACTCAGGAGGCTGAAGTGAGAAGACTGCTTGAGCACAGGAGTCTGAGGTTGCAGAGAGCTATGAACATACCACTGCACTTCAGCTTGGGTGACAGAGTGAGACTCTGTCTCTAGAGGAAGAAGTAAGGATAGAGAAAAACAATGTGTTTAAAACATGAACAGAGCCTCAGTGACTCATATGAGAGTATCAAGAGCAAATGGAGTCTCAGAAGGATAGAAGAGCAAAAACAAAAAATGTTTTTGTTGTTCTTTTTTGAGTGGGAGTCTCCCAGGCTGGAGTGCAGTGGCACGCTCATGGACACTGCAGCCTCAATCAGCTGGGTTCAGGCATTCCTTCTGCCTCACTCAGCCTTCCAAGCGGCTGGAACTACAGGCATGCACCACTACACCCAGCTAATTTTTTGATTTATTGAAGAGACAAGGTCTTGCCATGTTGCCCAGGTTGGTCTCAAACCCCTAGACCCAGGCAATCCTCTTGCCTCTGCCTCCCAAAGTGCTGGGATTACAGGTGTGAACCAGCATGCTTGGCTTTTTTTGTTGTTTTTTTGAACAAAAAATGTTTGAAAAAATACTGACTATTTTTTCCCTCAAATTTGACTTAAAAACAAAACAAGAAAGACTTCTGAGTTCCAGTCTGGCATGTAAGGAGATTAGAAGTTGTCATTCTAGCCTAACAACAAGTGAAAAGTTGAAAGAAAACGGAAAAAATCCACAACTCTTCTTAGATCTGTCAGAGAAGTGAGACCACAGACAAACCGCCACCCTCAAATCTGGAGAGACAGGCACACAAATACAGAGAATCACAACTTACCAGAGTAGAAACCCTTGAGCGAAAACCTCCATAGAAACGAGTGCCAGGTTGAGAAACCTAAGCTGCAATTGAAGATTTTCTGGAGGTTTAGGGTAAGCAAGTCTGAGAGTTAAAAATTCCAGGGGGACCCAGTCACAGGGTCCCCTCCTACACCTCAGGGGGCCCTACCAGCTCCTTGTCATGAATAACAGAGACAGATGCCCTCATGCTTCTAGCAGGGAAAGGAGAAAAGGAATAATTTTGAAATATGCCAGATCATTCTGTTCTTAACAAGGCCTGCCCTCAGTAGAAACTATTTTACCAGAGCCTACCCTGCTGGGGTTTTATCAGAGCCAAACCAACCTGGGGGAAGGAAAATATTCAATTCCCATTCCTTCCAGTTTCCTCTTTGAGGTAAGGGTAATACCCAATTCTAATCCGCTCTAGCCATCCTGTCCCACCTAAGAGGTAAAAAGACCCCCCAAAAAAACCTGCAAAAAGAAAAAACCTGAGCCGGGCTCAGTGGCTCAGCCTGTAATCCCGTACTTTGGAAGGCTGAGGTGAGTAAACTGCCTGAGCCTGTGGGTTTGAGACCCACCTGGGCAACTTGGCAAGACCTCATCTCTACAATAAAAATTAAAAAATTAGCTCGGCGTGGTAGCGCACGCCTGTAGTTCTAGCTACTTGGAATGCTGAGGCAGAAGGATCCCCGGAGCCCAGCAGGTCGAGGCTGCGGTGGCCGGGAGCGGCCATTGCACTTCAGTATGGGTGGCTGAGTGAGACTCCAACTCAAAAAAAAAAAAAAAAGAAAAGAAAAAAACCTGAGAAGCACTGGTGAAGTTTATAGTCCCAGGGTGCAGGCTCATCTAAAGACTAAGACTTAATCATAGGACTATAGAACACTTTCCCACCCCTGAGACTCTTGCCACTACATTATCAACTTACTGCAGCTGCAGTTTCTTTTGCCAAGTCTACCTTCCAACAAAACATTACAAGGCATACGAAAAGGCAAAAACACAGTTTGAAGAGACTGAACAAACATCAGAATCACAGTCAGATATGATGCCTGTAGTCCTAGCTACTCGTGAGGCTGAGGCAGAAGGATTGCCAGAGCCCAGGAGGTCAAGGCTGCAGTGAGCTGTGATTGTACCACTGCCTTCTAGCCTGTGAGTTTCCAACACAGTGAAATTCTAATTTGAAAAAATCAATCAATCAGTCAATATAAACTAAAAAAATAAAAGGTACTTGTACTACCCATGAATATAATATTATTTGAAAGCAGACTTCAATTAGATGTAAATATATGTTGCAAACTGCAGGGAAACCACTAAAAAAAGTAAAGAAAAAGAAGTATAATAGACATGCTAATAAAGTAGAAAAAACAGAATCATATAAAATGCTCAAATGAAACTACAAAATCCACTATTAAGGTTAGAAACTTTAACACCCTTCTATCAGAAATGAACAGATTCAGCAGGGAGGAAATCAGTAATGACATATTTGAACTCTACAGCACCATCAATCAACTGGATGCAATTAACATCAGTAGTCTACTGTATCCAACAACAGCACAATACACATTCTTATCAAATTCACATGGACCATTCACCAATATAGAACACATTCTAGGCCATAAAATAACCCTAACAAATGTAAAGCAACAGAAATCATACAATGTCTGCCCTCAGACTACAATGGAATTAAACTAGAAATCAACTACAGAAAGATAGCTAGAAATTTCCAAAATACTTGAAAATTAAAATACACTTATAAATAACACATGGGTCAGAGGAGAAATTGCAAGAGGAATTTAAAAATATTCTGAACTAACTAAAAATAAAAATACAACTTATCAAAACCTGTGGGATGCAGCAAAAGCATTGATTAGGGGAGATTTATAACACTGAATGCCTATATTATAAAGAAGAGAGATCTAAAATTAATAATCTATGTTTCCACTTTTGGAATCTAGAAAAAGAAGAGCATCACTCATAAGTGGACCCTGAACACCTATCATAATACTGCAAAAAAGAGATTGGCAGTAGTGAGACACTGCCAGGGGAGGGAGGGGGTAGGACACATAACATCAGTAAGGGTGCCTGATCCTAGTCCAGGCAAAGAGGCCCAAAACTTCACCTGTACCTAATCCTGACTTGGATCCCCACAGTTTTAAAAAATTAAAATTAAGAAAAAATAAAGAAAAAGAAGAGCAAATTAAATCCAAAGTAAGCAAAATAAAAGAAATGATAAAAATTAGAACACAATTCAATGAAGCTGAAAACAGGAAATCAGGCAACCCCATCAGATCCCCTCCCCTTGCGGGACCTTTTCTGTTCTCTCAATAAATCCTGCTTAAAAAACAAAGAAAAGAAAATAAAAAGAAAACAGGAAATTAATAGGGAACATCAACAAAACCCAAAACTGGCTCTTAGAAAAGACAAATCAATTGATGATTCTGTAGCCAGGCTAACTAAGAAAAAAGAGAGAAGATACAAGCTACTAGTATAAGAAAAAGGAACATCTCTAGAGATTCCATGGACATTAAA